ATAATAATGATAATAAAAAGCATCACAGCAGGGTTTCCTGCCTCTAACACATAAACCAGTTTTTGTTTCATTATTACAGAAGCCGCATCATGTAATTCCTCTTTAACTGGCTTGGTGTTAAATGTTCAAGCACTCCTTGATATGTCCAAGAACTAGTGTGTGGCTAGTTTTATAAAGACAAGTTTTCRCAAGAAATATAAACTTTACATTCAATGAATCTAGTAAATAGACTTAAACAGTTTTTTAAAAAAGTTACTCAGTAGTTGTCGATTGCACAAGTCAAATGTCYTTCATGATAAGGCAGCAGAAGGCAGGAAGTGGTGAATTCAATGATTAATGTGATTATTCAGTCCTTTACTGAGTGTAGTTAAGCCAGTGTGGACTTTATTCTGCAGTACAGTATCATCGACACAGCCATGGCGCACAGCTGAAAGAAATATATATTAGTAAATAATTGTGTGGCTTCTTGAGCAGCAAATTAATTCCCCCTCCCCGATAAAGGATTTAGTCAAATCAAAGCTGGTATCGTACCTCCAGAGCTGCAATCCCGAGGGCCACAGCAATAATGACTACTGTGTTGTCATCAATCAGTTTCYTGATCTGTGGAAAGCACCCAGTAACCGTCTAATAAACAAGGCAAAACACAGAGGTAGCATTCTTATTCATCACTTTACTGAATTCTGCSTATGGATGTTATTTTCTGATGAGGATAAAAAGTACATACATTATTAGAAGCCATGATTTGATTACATGGGATGTTGTTTCCACAGCACTGTGGTGGGTATGTATTGTTGTGATTCTTGTAATACGGAGAATCCACAAAGTCGGTGAAGTTGTAAAATCCACAACATTTTAACTGCAAAGAAAGTGTATGTTACAGAAAGCTTTGTGGAAATGACAGCCATAATTTACCTGTAGTTTAGAAGTTGTTTGTACCGTGTTCATTGTACTATTCCAGAGTCCGGTAGTGTCAGGGTTCCCTCCGTATTCCTTCTTGATATTCCCAACTGCAGCGTTGCCAATATCCACAAACAACTTATCTGCCTGACAAGCAAGCATTAGAACATACATCCTGTTATCAGCAGTCTGGTGGTGAATATCCTTCATTTGAACATGTTCTTCAGAAACTTACCACTGGTTTGAACACCAGAATCACCACTGCCCCTGCAACCTCTGCGATGAAGACCAGCAAGACTATGAGAAAGAACTGAAGAACAAAAAGACCAGAAATGTTGATGTGGTTCAGTCAAACTGCATCCTTACAAAACGATGTTAGTTSCAGAAATGTTTGAGGAATAGGCTGACTTTTTGAAAAGAACACCTGTTTTCTTSTTGAAGGACTTTTGGTGATATTGCTTTTCTCTAAGTGAAAATCAAAGTACGGCCCAGATGATATTTGTGCAGTCGAAGATGGTGTCAAACAAATTTGCAAACATTTGATGAAGGCTTCAAGAGGTTTCTCAATTTTCTTGTGTGATTCACAGAGGTTCACAGTCTTTCTGTCACAGTCAGGGGGCTCAGGGAGTTTAGTTAGGTGGCCTCAGGATTCTGCAGAGATGCTATTTGCAGATTATGTGGACCTGTTGGTATCATCACGCCGTGATCTTCAGCTCTCAGTGGAGCGGTTTGCAGCCAAGTGTGAAGCGACTGGGGTGAGGATCAGAACCTCCAAATCTGAGTCTATGGTCCTCAGTTGGAAAAGGGTGGATTGCTCTCTCCAAACTGGAGGTGAGGTTCTGCCTCAAGTGGAGGAGTTCAAGTATCTTGGGGGGTTTTTTGTTCACAAGAGAGGGAAGAATGGAGCATGAGATTGACAAACAAATCACAGCATTGCGGACTCTGTRCCAGACCAGTCTGTTGTGATTAGGAGCTCTAAGTTTACCTGTCAGTCTACGTTCCTACTCCCACCTCTAATCACAAACTTCAGGTAGTAATTGAAAGAAAGAGATTGTGGAAACAGGTGATTGAAATAAGTTTTCTCCACAGAGTAGCTGGACTCTCTCACAGATRGAATCAGAAGTTCAGTTATCCAGGAGGGACTCAGAGCCGCTGCTCCTCCACATCAAGAGSAGCCAGTTGAGGCGGTTTGGTTTGGTCATCATGGCTSCTGGACGCCTCCCTAAGGAGGTGCTTCAGGCATGTCTGACTGGGAGGAGACCCCAGGGAAGACCCAAGACATGCTGGAAATCAGATTTTTTTTGTTCCCGAGTGAAAAATATATTTTTCATGACAATCTGAACGTGACAAATCCAACCCAGGCCTTTTCAGTATGTGGAACTAAATCAGATACGTATTTGAWATTTTTCAAAGCAACCTCAGTCTGCATTACATCCGACTTTTTCATTAGTGAGGTGAAGGTGAGTGAATTGATCCATATAATACTGATCCTAACTTTGAGTCAGGCAATTTAWATCTTTTAATGCCACACATCTTCAGCTACAGAACAGGAGTCCAGTTGCTTTGGTAATTTTCTTTGTCCTGGATGACTGAGAGTCCACAGGAACATGTGAAAGTGATGTTGGACCGTATTGATACTAAAGTTACTCCGTTTACTTCTAGCACGTCGCTTCGTTCCAAAAATAAAATGCTGCACTGCAGCATCTGGTCTGAGGCAGGTTCACATGTAAACACTGAACTAAAGAAGCACATCAGATAAWTATTTACTCAGCTCTGACTGCACAACAACTTCAGAATGCTAACAAGTAGCAACCATATTTAGCTACTTCTGTACACAGTAAACTTCATGTGATGTCATCTGCACATCTGGAGAGTTCACAATGGAGTCAGATGGAAGTCACATTTAAAATATAATGTGAACGTCCATGCCACATGATTGGATAAAAAAATTAAATCTGAATTGAGCATTTAGATCTGCTCTGTGAACGTAGCATTTGGTCTGGGAACACATTGGAATCCTCCCAAAAGTGCTGGAAGAGGTGGCTGGAGAAAGAGAGGTCTGGGCTTCCCTGTTCTGGCTGTTCCCCACACAACCTGACTCCAGAACAGGCAGTAGATAATGGATGGATGGATGGATGGATGGATGGATGGATGGATGGATATAACATCAAACTATATGCGTTGCATCCACTTGCAAAATAAAACATGGATCAAAGTGTTTGCAGAAAACAAAATAGCTGCCACAGATCCTCTGCTCAGGTGTAATGAAGCAAATGCTGCTTGCAGAGAAAGCACAACTTACCTACAGTCAGCAAAAACAAAATTAAAACAAAGTATACATTAAAGAAGATGTACTGTATTTGGACACCTAGGCTTGATGGCAAACAATCAGGWCAAAGTGAGACCAAAACTGAAAATTTGCCCATGTTTTTTCAATTTTGGGTTGCCAACAGATGCAGCCCATACATTAAAGACATAAAAGAGCAAGTTTATGTTAGGACCTGAACAAATGGGCAACAGTTACTTTACATAAAGAAAGACATTCAAATGGACTTGTGTTTAAAATAGCAGGGGAGTGTCTGGCTGTCCTTCCTGGACCAGTTACTTTTTCAACCCATCCATAGAACAACTGATGCACATCAGAAAGCTAAGAGGTGGCAGCAAGGTGGGAAAACAACCCAGTGTTGGGGGCAACATTTTGTTGGTGTAGTTTGGGTCTRGTGTGAGTTGATGGCCCTGTTTCACTGTAGCCTCACAACAAGGAAAAAAGAAGTTCAAATCTTATGTGGATGATGTCAGTGTTGAGATTGCATGTTTTGCTTAAATCCTTTCTGSTTTTATTTCACACCTCGAAAACACACAAGTTAGTTAAACTGGTGGCTCCTTTGAACATTTGAGTACCGTTGCTCTAGGAACAGCATCACAAACAATCTGAATCTGACTAAATTAGACTTTCTTTTATTGGTTCTAGATTTTGCTCATTCTATTCAACCAACAAGGGTTGTTTGTGCATTTTTCTTCCWCCTGTTCCATAATCAGCACATTTATTTATCCAGACACACTCAGCTGGACATAATATTTCCTTTTTAAAATGTTTTTTTTTTTGCCAAAATTTCTGATTAACAACCACTTTTTATTCACAGAAAGACGTTGTTTGTTGTCTCCATTTTTACAGGTGTGCAGACAGATGTCGGGTGTGTTGTCTTGTGTTTTCTTGGTTTATATTTCACGTCTTCTCAAATCTCTCTTTCAAGCTTCCTCATTACATTTCTCCTTATTTTCTCTTTTTTCTTCTTCTCTTTTATAAAAAGTCACTGATGATGAAGAAACAAATATTCAGTTCTGTTTTCTACTGAAGTGGCTTAAAAAAAGARAGGCATTTGTTTTTCAATTGTAGTATTTTCTTTGACTCTATGCCTCCATCTACAGGACATGAGGAGTTGTTTCGGATAAACAAACAGCATTGTGCACCTCTACAAATACAGCAGAGGGAACGTCTTTAAAAGGAACGATGTTCAGCCTCTTGACTGTAGTTCAATAACAACACTAGCTTGTTGTTTGTGCAGCAGCTCATGACCCAGTTTTGAACTAACAGACTATTAAACTTGATTTAGAAAATTCCTTTATTTTGTCATCTTGTSTGCAGCTAATCTGTTTCTGTCAGCCACAAACTAACTAAGAAACTCAGAATCCATRTTGAACTGTGGGTATTGTCCATCTGATTCCCCCAAATTTTGAATTTTGTTCCATTAGGCTTAAAGTCTAGTTTGGTTGTTTTTAAACTGATTTTGTATCATGTATACCTTATCAGCTGTGACATCAGTCATAATTCGCGCACACGCACACACACACGCACACTCACACACACACACACACACACACA